GCATCAAAGGAGATAAATCACTGAATATACTAGCACTTTCTGAACAACGATGAGACTGTTTTTAACCTGACTTAAAGTTTATGAAAAGATTAGCCATTCAAAACCAAGAAACTTTATCCATGTAAAAGCACAGGAAGCTTACACTGGGTTCTCAAAGTAGTCCACCAGTGACAGCAAAAAATGGTCTCCAGAAAGAAAAGAATTACTGAAGTTTATAGGCTACACCATTGAGTGGAAGACAGCTCTGCCCATACTCCAAGAGGCTTGATGCAAACCTGCTCTGATCTTGAGGCTCTACAGCACAACACAGCAGCTCAAACAAAGCTCACTTGGCTGCGTTTCTGCACTGGCTCTGCTCCAGGCTCAGCCTGCTGAGCACAAGCAGAGGAGCTTGTGTTCTTTAACTTTGCTCAGAAGCACAAAGGCAGCAAGCTTTTGCATAGGCAAAACAAGGACTGTACTCTAGGTGTGGAAAGGCACCTAACCTGTTACAGACTCCACAGCGTGCTGTGCACTTCACCTCCCCTAGAACAACGCCCCGGCTACCCAGGCAGATGATACTATAAGCTATTAATACACTGGCCTAAATACAAACCACTGGAGCTAGGAATTCCCTAGCTCTCACCTCTACTCAGCTGAAAACCCTTCTTGTGGCATTAAGTCAAGGTTCTTCTTCTCATCCCTCAGCTATCCATCTCTGAAATTCAGGGTGACATCCCTTATGCAATATGTTAGTAATACACGTAAGTATTTTAATAACATGCGCGGAAATGCTTTGAAAATGACAAGTATTATGTGCACCGAGCTGTGTCATTAACACTGATGACATTAAAAACTACTACACTCTTCCCACTGCACAGCAACATGATGAAGTGTATGAAGTAGGGATGAGTAACATGAGTGTGCTTGTCTCCTTCATATAATCTTTCATCTGTAATATGTAGTATTTCTGATACAATCATGCAATCTCCTGAAATAAACCTCCAGTGCCAGACACCAGCTGTCAAAGAAAGTTTCCAAGGCCCCTAAAACCTGACGTTAATTGTAATTCATATTGCATCGTTTTCTTTTCTAGCAAATCAGTATAAACAAGTCTCAGGAGAAATTTTATTTAAAACTTATATGTTTTTATGCCTTGAATCAGTAATCATGTAAGTTGTAATCAACTCTGAAATGCATTTGGGAATAACAGCAAGAAAAATAAATCAATAAAATATGATGAAGAATAGGAAGAAAATTTATTTTGAACAGCTATAACGAAATGGAGAAATTTTATGGAAAGCATACAAAATATTGTTTCCAGATGGGTGGAAGTGCAATGAAGGATGTTCTCGCATTTTTAAAGGCAAAAAATAACATCGAAGAGCAGTGAGCAACTGAGAACTTCGAGCCAGCTCCCCAGAGGGGAATTTTAGCAGCAGATTAGAGCTGAAAATGAAAGATAGCACAGCGGCAGAGCTGAGGAACGGGCGATGTGAACTCGGGCTGTGCTGAACATTCAGCCTCAACGTGCCAAGTCACCCGAGGCTGCACCCGAGTAGCTGACCAGAGGGACCCGCAGCGGGCACACGGCCCGGGAAAGGGAAGGAGGACGGCAGGGATGGAAAGGACGGGAGGAATGGGAAGGACGGAGGAATGGGAAGGACGGGCACGGCTCCCGGTGCCGCCAGCCCGGCCCCACACGCGGCACGGCCGGCGCCGCATGATGCAACACGGGCGTGAGGGAGGAGGGAGGCGGGGAGGGGACAGAGCCCGCCGGACCCCCGGCAGCATCGGGGATCGGGGCGGCGCGGGGCGAGGCCCGGCCCGCACTTACCGAGCGGGGGGCTGCCCGCGTCCACCGTGAGGCTCAGCGCCGCCATGCCCGCCGCCACGCCGGAACACAGGGAGGCGGCGGGGCGGGGCGCGCAGCGCCGCCAGCTCGGCAGGGCCGGCGCGGCCCGGGCGGCCCCGCAAGACCCGCCCCGGGGCGGGGCAGCGTCCGTCACTTCCGCGGGAGAAGCCGTAGAGGCGGTGTGTGTGTGTGTGTGAGGGTGCCCGGTGTGCGTCTGTGCCGCCGGTCAGTCCTGCTGGGAGAGGCCGGAGCCGCCCGGAGCCCTCGCTGCCGCGCCGGGATGAGGGATGGGTGCTGGGTGAGGGCTGCCCTGCCCCTCAGCAAACCAGATGCCGGCGCACATTCCCTCAGCTGTTTGTCTGGCAGCGGCCGTGGAGATGCCTCCAGCCCCTTTTCTATCTGTGATGATCCAAATCGAGCAGCGCAACATGCACCGACACGTCTGAGTGCGGTGGTTTCACTCCTCTGGCTTTGTAGGATGTCACTTGTTAAACTCCTGACAAACGTGCGAATTTTGCAGCGGGTCAAACGAGTCCTAGAATATCCCGAGTGGGAAGGGACCCGCAAGGATCACTGAGTTCAACTCCTGGCCCTGTACAATGTGGTCCAAACGCTTTTGAACTCTGGCAGGCTTGGCACTGTGACCACTTCACTGGAGAGTCTGTCCCAGTGCCCAGCCACCTTCTGGAGCCTTGGAATGAATTACAAAATGCTGCGTCACCGAGTTTTCACAGGAGACTGGCTCAAATTCACTTTGTTGCAAGGACAATGCAGTGTCACTGTGATTTTTTTTTTTCCCCGCTCCCCATCTATTTTATAGATGTTACTGTAGCACTTAATGTGCTAACAGAGACATTATCAAATGCTTGATTGGTGAACCAGTGGTTTTTGTGCAGTGGAGGTAGTGGTATAGCCAGAGCATGACTGTCCATTACATGCTGGTTTTTATGTTTGATTTAGTTTCTACTTTCCTTACCCTTCTCCTTACTCTTTCCTCCTCTTCTACAGTTTCTGTGTTTCCATACATAAGTACCTTTACACACCATGCAGAAGCTGATACATGTTGTGTGTTCTACTCCCATTCAGGTAACTAAATGAGCAGACAGAAATTACAGCAGAATTAGAAAGAGGTTTATCCTGAAGAGATTTTCAAACCTATTGCAAGTTTCAGATGAAAATAAGGTTATAGAGCAATAGATGAAGATTCCTATCAGTGGGTTTTGTTCTTTGAATTTTAATGATTGCATGGAAAAAACAATTAAGGCAGGCCTTTGTGTTGCCTGAGTTGTTCTACGTTTTATCTTAACATGTTTTGCAAATTCACATGCAGATTTTGATGGGAATGCTACAGCATGCATATCAAAGAATCGTGTGTAAGATAAAGGTGAAAATTATCTAAAACAAGTGGTGAAAACATTGTACTTGCTATGTGGTTCAAACTGCAGTCACAATCAGTATGTAGAATGACTAAATTGGAATGACTAAATTTATAATGGGCCAAAATATGAAGAAAATTCTAATTAAAGCAGGCTGAATCTGCCTTGCATGCTCTTACCAGTTATGCAATTGAGGAAGAGAAGAAAGGTAGGCTTTAGATCAAGGGATTAGAAGCACACATTGTTCCTATATATGCAGCTCTAATCCAGTGTCATGCTAGAATGAGGTAAATGCTAATCTTGCTAATTTATCTGTAAATGTTAGGCTTAGATGACCTCACTAAGGAAAAGATTCCTTAGATTCTGTTCCATGTGTGCACATGGAGAGACAGGAACACTTTAGCATGCGTTGCCATTTTGTGGCAAGCTGTTCCTGCTTATTGGAAATAGAGTCAGCTTTAAGCCAGTGAAGTCATATTGGTGTAACCCTGATGTGAGGAAAGGATCTAATCTAAGGACTCTTTAGTGCAGTTGTTGAATATCCTGTGTGACAAGAGAAGTAACTTGAAAACACTGTGGAAAACTGAATTTCAAAACTTGCTTCTGTATGGAAAACAACTTTTAGTACCTTGAGGCACACATTTAAAGGTAGTTTGTGTGGATGAAGAGTGTAGTAATTTAGAAGACCTGATATTGTGGGCAGAGAGGAAGTGAGAAAGGGTGCAGTGTATCTTGAAGGCTACTTTGGCATTCATGGTGCCTGCAGAGGGTAAGGAAAAAAATCATCAGGGATAGCTCAGGGATTCAGTCTTTATGTAAGCAAGCAGCTGTGTTCAGACACCCTGCCTGGCAACCTGACATATGCCACTCTTTTCTCACAAGGAGAACAAGGAGAAACAAGGAGAAAGAAAAGCAAATCTCCCTGTTGTCTGTTGAAACTGGCATCTCTCCATGGTATGCCTCAGTATGTGTCAATTGATAGGGAAGAGGAGGCCCTAGGACTCCTTCATTTTAGAGTAAGGGACTTGAGTCACAACATCTGGAGAAAAGAAGGGTCACAGATGCCTCGGTGGTTCAAGAGTGTAATTCCAAAATCCTAAATTCAGCTTGAAGAGACTTCAAAGGAGCTTGTCTAAGTTTGCAATTGTAGTTAGTCATATGTAATTTACTATTGGTTCTCTTTCGTGTTCAAGTGGATTGGGCAGTTGAATCCTGCTTTTCTAACAGCCACACCTATGGGAAAGCTGACTGAAACAGGATCTCCAATTTCAAAGTTAATTATAGGTGATCTTGGTCCTGTTCTCTCCTCTCCTCTACCATGTCTGTGTTCCACAGGAGGGCGTAGTGGTATTGTCAACTTCCTCAACTCTGGGGCTGTTGGAAAGGCACCTGGTTTATCTCAGAATTTGGACATGGAAAATTTCAAGTTCTGCCATTTCTGTTATTCCCAAATATGCCACAGTGACCTTGACTTTGGATACCCAAAGTGCTCCAAGACTGCAGTGACATAAACCCTGAAAATGGCATTTCAAATCATCATAAAGGTGCTAGGAACTCCTACCCCTGTCATGCTTCCTTGGTTCCTAACTGAGCTGTCCTGAACCCTGCTGTATGCACACTTCACTGATCCTCAATGAATCCAGTGATCCATGAACCCTTATTTGAGATTTCCAGGCCCAGCTGCATTGTGTCCTGCCTCCTTCAAAACTCAGACAACCCAACGAATAGCAGTCTTGGCCATCCCAAAACTCAGTGCAGACCAAAAATAAAAAAAACCTCAGATGCCCTTCTAAGAATCAAAACTGGCAATTTTATAACAAATTGGCTCATCCATCCAGGCAAATGCTTAGTCCATTTGCATTTAAAACAATAACCCTTATTGACAACAAAAACCATTGAGCAAGATCAGGTACATGACTTAACATGATTTTGTGCCCAGAATATGAAGATGATTTTTGGTCTGCAGTGTTATGATTAGCAGTATATTACACTCAGTCATGAGGAAGAAAAAATCCCGAAGAATATAGAAAACAACTACTGAAGAAACATGACTGTTTTGATGTTGTTGTCTGCTCAACACAGCCAAACAATCTGATCCAACAGATACTTAGAGATTCTGTATAATTTTGAAATTATTGAACACCTTACTGAAAGTCTTCAGTTCAGATTCTATGAAACAGAATTTCAAGCTCAGTCATATTCTTCCTTTCTTTTTTCCAAGCTCATTTTCTCAGCCTTCCAGACCAAGTGAAGACTCTTCTCTGCTTTAAGGCACAAGAGATTCTTTCACAGTGTTTGGAATACGACTGGCATAGTAGTCATAATTTCTCAAAGTGGCAAGGACCCCAGCTGAATTCATGTGCTTCACCTCCTTGTTATACTGAAATGAATTTCCACGGATATCAGTTATCTTGCCTGCAAAAAAAAAAAAAAAAAGAAAAAGAAAAAATATTATAGCAAAAAGGAGTAGGAGTCCATTAGTTCAAGTAAAATAACTAAAAGCAGTCTTTGGTACACATGCCTGCCTTCAGATGTGACGTATCTTTGCTTCCAGTTTAAGTACAACAGGTTTGATATTGACTAAAATCAAGTAACTAGTGAGTTTATTTTTTTTTTCAACCATATTTTAATTCTTTGTGTCTCAGAAAAAGAAAAACATTTTTCATGGATTACTTAAATGCTTCCTGAGTAGCTTTTACATTTGCCATTGACAAGCAGCAAAGAAAAATCCTCAGTTCAAGTAAAAACCAGAGTGACTCTATACCACAAACTCTAAAAATGTCAAAACACCCCAGCTGGTTTTAAATGAGATTTTAAAAATCACTTAGCAAGAGCAACACAGATCTTTATTCAAGCTAATTTAACCAGGAGCTTCCTACCTGCCAAAGAGGCTAAATACAGCATTGTGCTGCCCCAGATTGGTTGGGTTGCTTTGCAGTAGAGCTAACCCTGTTTAAAATTATCCCACAGCAGCCTGAACACTACAGGCTGCAGGAGTTCAGCAGTGTCATTATGAAGTCTGTTATCCTTGATTGACAGAATTTAGGAATCAAACTCCATATGTTTAGCATATGATGGTAAAAGGTCTATTAATGTGAAAAGAAGAATTAAAAAAAAAATAATAGTACTTCAAATCCTCAATAGTGAGTCTTTTCAACCCCTTTAGCCCCTAGATAAGTGAAGTGTCTCATGTTGGTTGGAGACCACTAATTCTACTGAATTACATGAATGACTAAATTTTGGAGTTTGTACATCCAGAGAACAACAGCATGATTTGACCTATTTTTGTTTGTTTAAAGAATTCAATGTCCACATATTACATAACATGTTACTAATAATAAAGTACTATACTCAGTTAGTAGGACAATAGATTTTACTGTAGATAGTAGCCAACAGAAAAAAAAGGGGCATTTGTTTTGAAAATATTAAAATGAATATACTCCAGATTTGGGGATCTGGCTTTTTAAATTATGTGACAGTTATTGACACATGTACTGTCATTTTTCTTTCAATGGAAAGCATAACTAACTTCAAATTAATGCAGTTTCACTTTTTCTGGAACTCTGAATGCTATTAACTTACCTCCCACAGCATGTAGGATAGCTTCAGGTGCACATGTATCCCACTTCTTGCACCCAGGACTGGCAAATACATAAGCAGATGCTTTGCCTTCTATGAGTTGAATGATCTATTAAGAGTAGAGTTGCAATCATTGCCAAGGATTTAGGCATTTAGAAATGGGTAGAAATAACACCAGGAAGTGGGGATTAAATCTGTTTATTTAAGTACTGATAGTAAGGAAAGGAACACCAGCCATTTCCTTATTACTATTACAAGAAATGTATTAAGATTTAGAAGTTATATTGTATGACCATTCCCACTTTATTATTTTTGATTGTTATAAATACAGTCTATAGGATGAAAATCTGCTCCCAGTTTCAGAAACAAGAATTCACTTCTTGTGCAAATACTAAAAAAAATAAAGTCAAAATATATACATGTTGTGTTAGTGCCACTCTGGGCCTTGCCCATGTTGGAGAAAAGAGATGAGAGGGTGTGTTTTTGACAGCTATGACAAAACAGCTTTAAAACCTGTACCAAATGAGTGTTCCCTGTACACAGAGAAATTTCAGAAAGGAAATATCACTGTGTGCTTATATTTTTATCCTTTCAATTGTGCTGCTATATAGTTGGAATAAAAGCTGTATTAACACAAACAGGAGGACATGTCTAATAATTGAGATAAAACTGAATTCCCATTTAGTCATTCTGGTCTTATAACTTTTTATTTTCACCCCTAAAAAACAGAATACTGGGAAAGACAGACGTCAGCCATGACCAGCATGGCCACTGGTACAAATACACCTGTGCCAAATTCTCTCAACCTCACAGCAGACTGAATACTAGGAAGAGAAGTTGTGCTAGGTAAAGTGGAGGAAATCTCTCCTGTATGTTCATGCAAGTAAACAAATTATTTCTTTAAAAAGTATTTTTATTTTTTTGCCAAAGGTGCCACCTCCCAGTAAAACCAGAAGATCTGGGGTTTTCATACCTTGTTTCCTGCTCCTCCAACTCTGATGACCTGGTCTGGGTTCAAGGCAGTGATGCACTCGTTCACCAGGGCGCTGCTGTGGGAGCGGGTGGTAACCACGATGTGTTTGCCAGCAGGGGCTTCTGTCAGCTGGAAGCCAAAGGCACCCATGCCCAGCACTCCCCAGATTGTCCTGCCCAGCACAGCATTAGCTCCTGCCTACAAGAAAGGCACAGTGATGGTTAATCACACTGATCAGCAGTTAAAGCACAAAGGGAAAGGGTACCTAGATGCATCTTAACATATGAGGGAGTATAATATTAATGCTGGGCTGTACATTTAAACAGTGGCACTTAAAAAGTACTGCTCAAGAGCCCAGAGTGAGAAATCTCTTTCCCAATAAAGCAATGACATCATTGACCCTTTTCTTAGCTTTGACATTGTGGTGGTGCATTACATCTTGCCTTCAGTGACTGACAGATTAATATTTGTATACTTCTGTACTTGGGGCACAATCTGTAATTTAAAGTATCTTGTAATTTGAAGTATTTTGTGATACATGTCACACAGCACATGATAGCATTACATCAGCTCAAGGGCTTTTTCTTTTAACTCCAATAAGTTTAATTAATCAGGCTGTATCATGAGCTCCCCCAATAATACTGAAATAATCTCCAAATGTGTAAATGCCTGTAGGCTGGCCATCCTGACTTTTACCTGAAGCCTGGCATGATACACTCTAACCCAGCTGTCAGTGACAATTTATGCTTGGTTTATTTAGGGCTGCAGATCTATGGCAGTTACCACACACTGCAAATGCACCCATTGCAAGGATTTACTAAAGGCTAAAGACTGCAACACCACTGACCTGTACTTGTTTTACAGTAGGTACTTTATAAGGACTGTAGTAATTTGTGGAGTATATATGTAATATGTCCTGTATTAGTGCATTACACCAGCCTCATGATGCAGTATGGTTGCTAGTAAGTTCCTGATATTCAGTTCCTGGAAACCAACATTTAAAATTATATATATTTAATTTAAAAACCCCAATACCTTACACTACAACAATAACTCCACTACACACCACTTTTCAGTTTAAAGTGTGCTAACTGAAATAGCTTAGGAGTAACATTTAGAAATCACACAATGCTTCTAAATAAATCAATGACTTATACCTCATAGTTGTAATAAGGCTGGTTAATAACTCCTGCTATTGCTTTGCCTCCATAGGCAATTCCAATAAGAACTGTTACATGGTCAAGGAGACCTGGACAGAAAAAGCAGGAATGTAGTTACGCTTGAAAAAGAGATCTTAATAAAAACATAAACATTCAGTAAAAGTCCACAAATCAATATGCAGGGTGCTATCTTAAAAAATGCAAATAGTAATCAAGATTCTCAGATGTTGATTTAAATTTTTAGTAATTTAGCCTTGAGATCTGCTAAAAAATGCCCCAGATAGAGTTCTTTTAATACAGCTATGTTATAATTAACACATAATGAGAAGGAAGTTTAAAGATACAACACAGCAGTATATGATGACATTCTTCTGTAATTGTGGTGGAACTTTAATGCTGTTGAAAACTAGCAATTTACTGAAAGTTGCACATCTCTCTCCCCACAAAGGGAAAAAAACCTGCCTAAAAGATTTTACATTAATCAATTTAAAGATGCATTAGGAGGCAAAAGTGAGGTTTCAGCACATTGTTTCTTAGAGGCTTTTCATTTTTTTCTTTTCTTTCATTTTAGTGTCTATTTCTGTGGATAGAAATTGGGCTTTGCTGAGAACAATTTCTTCCCATGACTGAAGAACCGTGATTTGTGGGAGGATGTTAGTTTCATTTTGAAAGGACTACAAGTACAGCTGTGGTATTTGGGTTGTTTGAGAGGAAGATGTAAATATAATTGAGCATATTCCTATTTGAAGGGTAGATTTAGTCCTTCAATTCAAAGATATGCAAAACTGTAAATTTAACTAAAAACTCAAGACAACTGGCCAGCAGCTCTTTGCACTCTGAAGTGATAAAAACTAGTCACCACTCAGTAGCTCATCAGGAATATTCAATACTGGTTAGAACTGAATGGAGTGAATAAATACATTCCAAGCACTCAAAAAGTCCAGAAACATCAGCCTTATGAAATCATATTTTAAGTAACTTCTATGATAAAACTATGCAGATGTATATGCTACTTTATTACTATTGCTATTTTTTTTATCAAGAGAATTAAAAGAAAATCCAACCTTCAGTGTACTCCTTGGTTCCATCCAAGGGATCAACCCATATTACAAGCTTTAAGAATAAAAAAATAAGGAAAATTAACAAACACAAATAATGTAAATTACCACACAAAGTATCTATTTTACTTTATTGTTTTTATTTCCTTATGGTAGTAAACAAAAAAAAAAAAAAGATCCAAAGTTTTAACAGTATTATATGGCAGAAGCCTATAATAGTAATTTACACACAAAAAAAAAGCTTAAATATTGACTGGAATGCCTCAGTAAATGTCCTGATAGAAGTATGAAGGATTAAGCTGAAATGGAAAATTAGATTACTTTCATATGTCCAAACTAGATTCCTGCCAAACTAATTTGAATTACGATTGTAAGAAGCCAATTTCCATTTCCCATTACTGCACGCAGGAGCATGCAGCATTTGTAGCTCTGGAGGTGTGATTCTCATGACTACATTTCAGTTTTCAAACAAAAAAGAAATACTGGCAACACTGAAAAAAATCTCTCTTCACTGTACACTCTTAGCTAAAATCAAAAGTAGTATAGATAATGTAAAATATTAAGACACAGAAATAGCATTACCACATTACCTCTTCCTCTTTAATTCCTGTGTACTGAGCAGGACAAGGTTTCTTCAGTATTTCTTCACAGTGACCATCTTCAATTAAATCTTCAGTTACATCATCAGCGGGCAGCTCCTAACAAAAGGATTCTCAGAATTATGAGAAAAATGTTTTGGACTCACTCACCTCATTTTGCCTTAGAGCTGTGTATTTCACAGCAGCTTGATAAAGCTAATGAAATGGAAAGGTGAAATGGGATGGAAATACCTTTTTTTGTTGCTTTTTGGGTTGGTTTTTTTTAATTAAAACTGATGTTTTCCTAAACCCAGCCAAAGCAAATTCTAGTGCAAGCTACAGCAAGATAAACTGGCAGTGTGAAATTAAGCAGGTACTTACTTCTTCTCCTATGATTGTCACCTTGGGAAACTTCCGTGCCAGGGAAGCACAAATGCTCATTTGTACCAGTCGGTCAGCTTTGGTCTGCAAGTCATTGGGTCCAGCCTGTGCAAGAGTGGAGAGGAATTTGGGTACAAAAAACTACACCAGCACAGTGGCCCATACAGCACTCTGAATATCTACTTGTAATCTAAAAGAAATCTAATTTGGTAAATCTTCAACTGGTAAATCTTCACCCTTGTGAGAGGCAGGCTAAAAACTGCAAGAAGCAGAATTTTCCTGTGCACCCCAGGGCTAAGACACACTGGTCTGACAATAGAACAGTGGATTTGGTGCCCTAAGGTGACATAAAGAAATGACTGCAAGCCTTCCCAATGTTGTATAGCCAAACATATGCTACTACATGTGTTACACTAATGTCTTAAATACTAATAACCTGCTACATGTGAAAGTGGGTAACTTATTAGCACTTTTTAAACCCTGTAGGTTCAGAGACAGAATTCCAGTGAGAAATCATTCTGTTAACATTGGAACTTAGAAAGACAGTTTATCTAAGATTTACATCTCTTAGTTGAATCAAACAAAACTTTTATCTGCTTGTATCTTATTTGCTGACAACATGAAAAGTGTTTTATCCAGCTACAGGAATTAGCCATAGGAATGGGATATTTCATTTAGAATCATGTAATGGGTTAATTTTTGTGTGCTCAAAACTAGTCTGTCCCTTAGCCAAGTGCTACTTTTATGAAACTTGATATTTTTCTCTGAAATTTCCCTCTCATCCCCTAATGAATTTGGTTGAAATTGGTCCTCAATTTAGACTCAGTAAGATCATTTTATTGCAGAGAATGTCCTTTGTTCCAGGACATGAACCCAATAAAACAGTACAAGTAGTGCTTCAATGTAAGAACGGGTGGACAAAAGTGTCTATCTACCAAGTGGGGGAGGAAAAAAATTACAAATACTACAAAGAAAAGCAATATAAATGGAGAGCTTAGAGTTGACTGAGAGAAAGAAAACTCAGGATATCAAGAGAGGAGATGGCTAAAAACTCAGGTATTCCTGAACTAGATAAATGGACAGAGCATCACTATGTTGAGGGAAAAGGTGAAACATTCCCTTTGCAGATGTTCTAAAGCTTCCAGTAAGGTCACTTGGAATTGGTCTTGGTGTTTGCTGCCTACAGAAAGAAGATGAATGATGAGAAGCAGCACTTCTGTTCTGCGTCTCTTCCCTTCAGACTGCAAAACAGAGGCACATGTAGAGGCCCTTTTGCCTTCTTCCTCTTCCTTCAATAGCCATCTTTGGAAAGAAGCTTGCAGGAATTTCAAGATCCCTAGTCCTTCAAACAGGAACCTCTTCTGTTGGTCATTGCTTTCAATCTAATTTTGTGTGTTTGTAGTACTCATTCTTCAAAAAATTTAAAAGTAGGTAAAACCAATCTCACTTAGAACCAATATCACCTGTTACTTTTGATCATTTTTGAATAATGTAAATTCCTGCAGTACCTTCAATGTAAAGACCAAAAATAATATATCTGTATTTAATGAAGCCCTTAATATTGTAACATACCTGTAAAGCTAGAATTAATTTCCAAAGTTAACTTCACCTATTCCAGTACTGTAGTCAAAACAAAGATCCTGGCTCATGAGTGGAATTTACTAGATTACAGCAAATAAAGAACTTTAATATCTGTTTTCTTTTTAGAATTAAATTTGAATCTCTGAATTTATTCTGAAAACTTTGATTTGCAATAAAAGCTAAGATTTTTTTGTTTTAGGAAATTAAACACTGATTTATTCTAATCCAAAATTCATCAAGGGCATGGTATTTTAAGCTGTACTAAGGATGCTAGAACATAGGTATAGAAATTAACAGGAAATATACCTTGTTATGAATTTTGAGGTGCTATGCAAACCTTGTGTTTTGTGAAGGAAATCAGGATAAAATTATGGTGTTTCTTTTAAATGTACAAATGTTGTTTAGAAGTACTGGTCAAAAGACATTTCTCTAGGGCCGTTTTAGTCCTTTGGAAAGGAATATTTGTTGTAGGTGGTGGTGGAGATGGTGAGGGCTGTATTAATCTAACTCAAGATTAACAAGTGAAATTAAACTGGAACAAAGTAAAAGGTAATACCTTCTCCACTATGCCCAGATCTCCTGCAGACATCACATTTCTAACAATTGTTGCAGCTTTTTCTGCAACAGAATATGCTGAGGCTACTACACGCATAAGGAGAGCTGGAGAAGCCATGCTGAAATCTGAAAAGAAACACAAGCCAAACTTAAACATTTCTCTCTTTAAAGGAAGAAAAGAGATAAGAGCATTTTACCTAACATTTCAAACAGATGCTGTTTAAACTGAGTAGGAAGGGGAAAGTGGGCTGCTGCCAGGGAGTGGTAATGAAGCAAGCTTTGGCTTTTTTAAAAACATAAAATTAACAAACACAAAGATGTAAAGCTTTGTAGACAAGATCTTACAAATACCCGAATTCTGTCTGACAATGATCCTGGTTCTCACTAAGATAGAATGACATTAAAAAAGAACAGCAGCAGAAACTCTTATCATAAATATTAAGAAAAAGAAGAGTCTACACATAGCATTCATTTTTTGCACACTTTGAACATAATTTCATTTTTTCAGTACTGAACCTACAATTGGTTCATGCCCAGAACTCAAGCACAAGACTACCAGGAAGGATGACATCAGCAACTTCACTTACTATTCCCTTTGCTTAACTATAAAATAGGGGTTTGTAGATGGCCAATTGTGCACACCAAGTAGGTTAATGATATGCAGATACTGCAAACTTGTATGCAAAAGCTGAATTTAACCGTCCTTTCTGTATTTGTTTAACTTCTCCTGATTTCTTTAAGGAAATCAATTTCTATTTTCCTGCCTTCCCTCACCACTCCATGTCCTGTCATTCTTAATATTGCATTTTCTTCCTCATCTGTTCTCCAGCACAAATCAGTGCAATTCACTGGGCCTTCAGTTACCAAGCAGAATAACCTTCACCCTTGGAAAGGCTGGCATTCCTCCCAGCTTTTCTTTAGCTCAGGAAAAAGAAGCATTGATAACCACACTGCATTTTGTAAAATGCAAAGCTAATTGCTTTTTATGTTTTCCTATCACTTGTTTCTTATCTGTTGTCTGTGTAGATGACACACTTTTTGGCTTGGCCTGACATGTATGACACACTTCCAAGGAGACACTTGAGCAGAGCCAAAACAAAATACAGAGGAACTCACTGATCACCACACAAAAGAAGATATATTATGGGGGAAGAGTAAAATAACAATCATATGATAAATATTGCAATTGCAGCAAGTACTGCTTAAGTGGCAATAGGTCATTATACAACACCTGTCCTTTCTTCCTTGACAAATTAAATTCATGGCTGTTCACACAACAGCAATGTCAGAGGTATCAGAATCCCAAATTTAGCCGATTTAAGAACTCTTTGAGCACTTTAGTAACACCATACCTGTATCAGTAAAGTCAGAAGCCCTCTGAGGTTGAAAGAATAGAGCGACTGTGCAAGCACATTCAAAAAGCACAGTTGCTAATGTTAATTATTATTTCCAGCTAATGGGTGGGAGCAAAGTGCATTGGAGTTCTGTGGAACAGCCAAGGTCCATACCCAAAGTAACCTAGGACAGGTAGCAATGGTTACAAAGGAAATTTTGGAAATGCTACCTGGAAATGGCAAAAAGCAGCTCTCAAACAATTGAAAGTTGCAGAGCAAATATGTATCATAACACATGGAAAGCCATATACTATTTTAAGTCTATACCATCATGTGAAACAAGTTAGCAGGAAGGAAAATAGTTTATTCAATAATGAAAATATATGGAATATGAGAATTTTTAAGAAGGAGTTAAAAAGTACCATAATCGATGGGAAGTTTGGATTAAAGAATTGAAATTAATTATCAGATGAACATAATTAACATTCTTTGCTCAGCTTCTCAAAAAAAAAGTCATTTGACCTTTTACTGTACATTTGATCCTACTTCAAAGATGAGATGAAAAACTTGTTTTATAGTCTTGGCCTATTTTATGTTTGCATAAAATTTCAAAATACTCAGAAAACAATACAGAATTACTATCTTGCATTCTTGAAGCTTGACCAAGGTACATTTTTAAGGTATATTTTTCTTGTCCATACTTAGGGCAAACAAATATGCTTTCTGTGGTGAACCCAGAATCTCCTGGCAAACCTTAAAATTAAAGTATTTTTATGAAAAAATAAGGTTTATTAAAATAAACGGAAATTAGAGGTTCAACACCGCTTCCTCATCACTATGGAGTAATTACCTCATGAACTGCAAAGTATTTTATTAGTGCAAAGGTGACTTAGATTTTTACAGGGCTGCGTGTCCTGTGTGGCACATCTTCTGGTGTATTGGACCTTTTAGATTAGATAAGTGAATACAGTAGTTGCAGTAGTATTCTTCACCTCTGTAACTTTTTGATCTCAAGTTAACTTATTTATAGGTTTATGGCACATTCCTTCTGACGAGGGCAATGTCTAATGTATGCTTCTATAAGGCACTTAAGAATATATTGCTTGCTTTGGTCAAAAATAGCTTGACTCCTAGAAAACTGGGCAGTTTACAAATTATCCCTCAAGTTAAATTTAGGTATAATTTTCAAAACACACCTTGTCCTCTAAAGATATTCCCTTCTTTCTTCTAGCCCAGCAGTCAAACCGTTAAATGGTCTCGACAAATCAGCCTATTTTGATACCTACTAAAATGATTGAGTTCTTTGGTTCTTGTTCTGCTTTTCAATTCTGATGCATGTAAGTACTACAGGCTGACAAGAATTAATTTATCAAATCACACATGACAGATTTGTTGATGGTTCTCATTCAGTCTCTTTTACACAAACTTCCATTTTCCAAATTTTTGATTTCACCCGATGAAAGGAGAAAGTGGACATCACACAGAGCATGTCCTTAAATCCAGTTGTTTCCTGGAACTCTTCAACGCCTAAGCGCCCAGAGCTCCCTATTTCTTTACAATAAACTTCAGCCCACACCTAGTAAAAGATAAACTTTCCATTATGTAAGGGAGCTTCCATGTGATGAGCTCCGCCGCCCCGGGATGAGCTCCGCCGCCCCGGGATGAGCTCCGCGGCCCCGGGATGAGCTCCGCGGCCCCGGGATGAGCTCCGCGGCCCCGGGATGAGCTCCGCGGCCCCGGGGTGAGCTCCGCCGCCCCGGGATGAGCTCCGCCGCCCCGGGATGAGCTCCGCGGCCCCGGGGTGAGCTCCGCGGCCCCGGGGTGAGCTCCGCGGCCCCGGGGTGAGCTCCGCGGCCCCGGGGTGAGCTCCGCGGCCCCGGGGTGAGCTCCGCGGCCCCGGGGTGAGCTCCGCGGCCCCAGGAGCAGCCAACTCACCGTGTCTATTCTCGCTTTTCACTGGATCTCCGCCGGTCCCGACCGCCGGCAGCGTGCGGGGCGCTCCGAGCCCTCCGCGCCCGTCCCCTTGCCGAGGAGAGCCGCACGCCCCAGCACCGCCGCTCCTCCCCGCAGCGCACCGAGGCCTCCTCGCCGGCTCCTTTAGCGGGGACTCACCGCCTCCCCCGAACCACCTCGGCCCGCCCCGAATCCTTCCGGCTCCGGGCGGGGCTGGAGTCTCGGCGCGGCGTGTCCCGTGCCGCGGCCCGTCGCGCCGGCGGAAGCGCGGCCGCCGCCCCTGAGGATGCTTCGGGCCTGGCGGGCGCCGGCGCTGGCGCGGGCCCGGGCCCGGCCCGCCCGGGGCTGGGCGAGCTCCGCCGCCTCGGAGACCGCGGCCGAGAGCCGGGAGGACTCCCGGTACCGGGACACGGTGCTGCTGCCGCGCAGCCGCTTCCCCGCGCAGCTCCCGGGGCGGCTGCAGCCCGAGACGGAGCTGAAGACGCAGCAGGTGCGGCCGGGGCCCCGGGAGGGGCTGGGGCTGCCCCGGGCCGGCAGGGCTTGGGTTCGGTCCCGCCGCGCAGGAACAACTTCTGGCCAGCCCGGGCTCTTTTTTAGAATGTTTCTATAGTTTATATAGTCATACCTTTCATACAGTTTGTTTTGGAGGAGAGTCATGGCCGTCCGGTAGTGTAGTGCTAGGATAATAATCTCAGGCTTAATATTTCACCCTCTTCCGTCTTTTTTCTATTTAAAACCTACGAATGTCGTCCCTTGCGGAGTTAGAAAAGTGTATTTGTTTGCTTGCCTGCTTTTGTTGTAAATTTCACGTCCAGACTTTTTGGAAGTGCAGAGATTTGGGATGGTTTTGGTCTTTTTCTTGTTGTTTCTACAGAAATGTGGTTTTTCGGAACTGTACTCATGGCAAAGGCAAAGGAAGACAAAACAGGAATTTTGTCTGCATGATGGACCACCCTATGCCAATGGAGACCCTCATGTTGGCCATGCATTAAACAAAGTAAATATTTACTTGTTCATACTTTATGCTTGTGAAGTGGTAAAAAAACAGCTGTCGTGTGCCCTGTGTTCTCCATTCCCATTTAAATCTATAACACTTTAACACGTTTTGGGTTTTGGTAGTTGGGGCTTTTAAAAACCAGTGGTATGGTTATGTGGATGCCATATTTTGCCATGTTGACATAGATACCATACTCCAACATAAACACCATGTACTGAATGCTTAGAGTTCATTTTGATTCAGCCCTGAGGTTCACAGCATTACGCTGACCACGAAGTGAGAAAGACTCAGACTGTGAGCTGTCACCCACAGCTTCTCACAATCCCAGTGCCAGAGCTTGGGCTGCAGCAATGTGCTCTAGGCCAGTGCTTTAGACTCAGCTCAGTGTTTTAAAAATGAGAGCAAGTCAGATTTGTTCGCTTCAAGTCTTGCAAGTTTATAAAATGCATTTCTCGGTTCCACTGGTTGTGAACTCCTTGGATCAATGGTCCTCTAAGGTTCTGCCAATGTACAAAATGGTAGGCAAGAAAAATAAAACATTCAGGGTCTTTGGATCACAGAGTGCTTTGGGTTGGAAGGGGCCTTAAAGATGATTTAGTTCCAAACCCTCTGCCATGGGCAGGGACATCTTCCACCAGACCAGGTTGCTCAAAGCCTCATTCAACCTGGCCTTGAACATTTCCAGGGATGGAACACCCAGAGCTTCTCTGTCTTAATTATGAATTTATCCTGCAGCTTTTGATAATTGTATTTTTTAAACAGGAGTTTGATTACAAATGTGGCTATTCCACATGGGGGAGCTAAAGTGATAACAGACCCTTGTGGCTTTTCAGATTTTGAAAGACATCACCAATCGCTTCCATGTGATGAGAGGCTATAAAGTGCATTATGTGCCAGGGTGGGATTGCCATGGGCTGCCAATTGAGTTGAAGGCACTGTCAGAAGTCAAAGGAGCTGAAAATCTTTCACCGATGGAGATTCGGCAGAGAGGTATATAAAGGCTGTGAGACTTTATTGTCACCTTTTCTATTAGCTATTGGTGCCTTTTCCTATGTTCACTGGTGAATTTGCCAAGCAGATAGAGTAGGCAAGAATCTGATTAAATGGGATAATTTCACAAAAGCTTAATTTGTTGCTGTAATGAGCATGCAGAGCATTGACCCTCAGTTACAAAAAAAACGAGGAGGGCAGGAAATTTGGATGTCGGCTTCAATTAACTTTTTAGTGGCAGGAAGCTGTTATTTATCAGATCAGCATCCTTTTGCTTTTTGAAGGCTGCATTTGATTAGGAACTGAAAAGATGCATGTAGAAGTCAGGCTCTTTCAGGACAGTTTTGTTCAGTATCACAAGTAGGAATGTATGTGTTGACTTTTTAACAATCCTACAAAACTATAGGAGGGATCCTTTTGGAGAAAGTCTGCATTATATGGAAACAGTTTTGAAGAAATAATTTCAAACCCCCTTTTCAAAATGGGTTGAAAAGTGTCATCATTCAGCTGCAAAGCTTTTTGTAATGAGCAATTGAAACTGCTTTAACTTGAAATTGTGGTAATGATATGGACTAACTTATTTTCAAATGTATGTTACTTAGAAAATTTTGGATCAGCATAAGCAGAGGGAGTTAACTTTCACTGTTAGTAGTTTTATGTTGAGAACTTATTTTAAGAAATTTTTCTTCCTAACAAAATATATTTCCCCCTGCCTTTCTTAAAAAGAAAGTTTGTAGTCTAAAGACATGTGCTTAATTTTCCTGTGTTGGTGAAAAAGTGCCACTCACTCCTATTCACTCTTTGCAGTCATTTTTTGTAACAACCAGTCTGAAATGTGTGTATTTTGAACCATAATAGTTAGTGCATAGGTTCACTACATTCAGCTCTGGCTTTACTATAAAAAAAGTCAATAGTGCATTTTAAGTGGTATTTTATTGATCTTAGTGTGCTAAACCATGTGCTTAATGGAACCATTCCCTTCAGCCAGAGCATTTGCAGAAAGAGCGATTGAGAAACAGAAATCCGCCTTCATTCGTTGGGGTGTAATGGCAGATTGGGCCAACTGCTACCTTACATTTGATCCAAAGTATGAAGCAAACCAGCTGAGAGTCTTCCACAAGATGTATGATAAGGTATGTTGAAGTTCTGTGCAAGTCTGTACTGATTTTTTTATGAGTTCTGGTTCTCCTAACTTTCTTCTTTCCCCTTACTGTCCTCTCTAGGGTTTAATTTATCGGGACTATAAACCTGTGTTCTGGTCCCCTTCAACAAAGTAAGAATCAACTTACTATTTTGTCTTCAAAATTTTAGCAAGGATGCCAGTAGCTTTTGATGTTGGAGTGTGTAACTTGTGTTTGATGTGTATCAGAACAGCCTTGGCTGAGGCAGAACTCGAGTACAACGAGCAGCACGTCAGTCGCTCTGTGTACATGAAATTTCCGCTGCTGAAGTCACCGCCCAAGCTGACTGCTGTGATAGGTACGACTTCCCTGTAGCTTTAGAGACTGACAGCTTGGATTTTTGTTGTAACTGTGAGTAAAGTACTTCTAATTTACATCTGTAGATGGATCATCCCCTGCTAGTGTGCTAGTCTGGACCACGCAACCTTGGACTCTGCCAGCCAATCAAGCAGTTTGTTACATGCCAGACTCAGCGTAGGTGTCTTCTGCTTGGTTCAGTTGTCTCTGTCAGTCCTTACTGGTATTTAGCAGCAAAATTAAAACATTCTGCCAGTTTACTTAAGGCATCTTCTCCGGGTTTTGTTTGGGGTTTTTTTGTTCTGCTTTTAAGTGATGCGATTGTAAGCTTTGTTTTATATCTATTAATTTCTGTGTACATTTTTATTAAATTATTTCTTCTTCATGAGGCAAGATTACCTGGAATTTTGAGATTTATGAGTGAATTGGACATGTAAAACCTACTTGTCTGTCTTTTAGAGATTGGTAGCTTTGTGGTATTTGTAATTATTTAGTATCACAAATTCATGTTTGTATTGCAGCTACTCAATTGTAAAATGTGCAACGACTGGACAACACTTCATCCTTGCTGCAGATAGAGTTGAATCCACAGCTGCTGTTCTGGACACACAGTTTGAAGTTGTATCAACATGTAAAGGTAGGATTTCAGATTGTTAAATTGCTTAGAAATCTGCTGAGAGGTGTCTCAAAACTGTTCCAGTTTTGATGGATTAAACGTGTTTATAATTTGAGAACATGCCTCAATAAATAATACAAAGAAGAGGAGGAGTCTGTCAGATTTACTGTTGGTGTATTGTAGCTCAAATTATCATCCATAGATTTCAAATGAATTTTTAAAATCTGGCTTCATGTTTGGAAAAATGAAATGTAGAGTGCAAGTCTGTTCAGTATCAAAATCTATTACACTGAGTGCAGTTTGTCTTTCCATCCATTGTTGATGACAAGAGGGGGCTAATTACAAGCATGACTGGTGAGGTATTGTAGGTGGCTGTTGTCTGGACAAACTAAAGCAGTTGAGTTGGCATCCTAACAAACTGTACAGTGGCATTTCTTAACAGGCAGGCTTGGGATTCAGTGTCATGAATTGGGATTTAGTGTGTTGTTTGTAAGCTTTATTCATTTGCCTCACTCAGTGATTCTGTGCTGGAAATACGCATTTGTAAAGGAGGTGAGGAATCTATTTCTATCTATTTCTATGTCTTCTTGTTTTCTTTTTTTTTTTTTTTTTTTTTTTTGGTGTCTTTCCATGCCTTCTCTTTCAGAGGAAGTTTACCTAATGATGAAATTACTGGGGGTGTTTGTTTCTCACAGCTTCCACCTTTTTGAATTATGTGATTTACAGATAACATCCAAGAGTAGTAGAGTTGAACCTTCTTAATAAGAAATTTCGTATTGGAACCTGTTCTTTTTAACTTCCCATATATTGAGTAATTAATTATAGTTCTGTATTTGTGTAGATAACTGTGAAAGCAGTTCTTAAACATGTTCCTTCTAGGAGAAAATCATTCTGTGAACACTGTTTTTTCACATGGCACATTCCTCAAGCTCTATGATTCTTGACTTTCAGCAAGGCTTTAATAATAGTATTTCTTCTGTGTTTTTTTACACTTGTTCTTTTTCTGCTCTCTGACAGAAGAAGTTGAACGCGTGAACTGTGTTTCTCTATTTTATCTTCTGCTTGTGTTTTTCAGGTGCAGATTTGGCAGATGGTTCTTGTGCTCATCCCACCATTCCTGGCAAAGTCTCTCCCCTGTTACCTGCAAATCATGTGACAATGACAAAAGGGACAGGATTAGTTCACACAGCCCCAGCTCATGGTATGGAAGATTACAGCGTAGCTTCCCACCATCAGCTACCCACGGTACTTTATCTTTTCAGCTGTTGTTCTTGATTTCCTGGAACTCAGTGACTCTGTAACCCTAAAATTATTTATTTTAATTTGTGCATAAAACTTGAAAATATTTTTAAGCATTCACAGAAGTGTGAGTATCACTAATGGCCTGCAGAAGTGCAAGACTAACCTTAAGGAAATGTGTATCAGGTTAAAAGAATGAAGTTTCCTTTTGCTAAGTAAAACTTACAGGGAGGTCTTAGAATCAGATTTTTCTGCTCTTTGTGTGGTTTTGTTTTTAAAGGAGAACACAGATATCTCAGATATTGACTCTCGCTACTCAGAATTGTCTTTTGCATGCAGATCAGTAAGTCACCTGTTATGTAGATCATTGTTACTTTTTTTTCAGCAAAGCTTGTTTTAAACACATACATAAATACAGCTCATTTATGCATGGCCAGTTTGATTGATGGGAGTGAAGATTCAGGATATGAGGCATGGGGAGGGCTAGGTTTGCCTTTATTTTGCGCTGAAATACCAGTGACTGTGATGTATGATAGTTGTGGTATGTGTGCAAATGTAATGGTGCTCATTTCTTCTGAGACCTAAAATTCACTTACCTGGTAGATTACTATATTGCAGTTCACTAAATCTGAAGTATACTTAAATATTTTGTTATTCATCAGAAAATGATCACCCAGTAGAGTATTTTACTCACTTTTGAATACCAGAAAGATAATTAATTGGTGCATGGTATTTTATTGACGTGATTAATTTCTTTACTTTCAGGATTGCCTTGTGGATGAATGTGGGTATTTTACAGAAGCAGCAGGTTCTGAACTTAAAAACAAGAATGTTCTTGAAGAAGGGAATGAAGCTGGTGAGTATTTGATGTTTGACCATTTGTTACTTCATCACTTACAGTCCTGCATATATTTTGAGAATATGTATAAACTGGTCATATATTGAATATAGATGAGGTACAGGCATTCCTTGCTAAGTGTTGAATGTAGAAAGGACTGAGTTGAGGTTAACAGTAGCCATATGTTCAAACTGAAATTTAATCTTGCCTCATTTTTTCTCTCAGTCATTAAGATGCTTCAAGCAGCTGGGAGTTTGTTAAAAGAGGAGAAATATGTGCACAGTTACCCCTATGACTGGAGGACTAAAAAACCAATTATTATTCGTGCCAGCAAACAGTGGTTTGTAAACACAGCAGATGTGAAGGCTGCAGCACAGGTATGTAATTTTGCTTTCTTATGAAACACATGAAGACAGCTGATGCTACTTGAAATTAGCAAAGCAGTCTTGCTGTAGCTCCCTCCAGAATATGATCTTCTCTAGGGTTTATGAACAGTAGTTGAAAAGCATTAATTACTTGTTGAAGTGAAATATGTTGTCAATTCTTTTGTCAATGTTGATATAACCCAGGGTAGCTACTCTGACTGGTATATTTGCCCATTGTATTTACAGATGTAGAAGTTTCTTAGAGCTACTCATGTTTTTTCCCTAAAATATTTTTTTTTAAATATTATGTTTCAAGGAGTTAAATTAGAAGAGATAATTTTGTCACTGTTAAAATTACCTTTTTTTCTTAGGCTAGCCTTGTGTGGCCAGACATCTTTATTTGCTGCCCTGTTAATTTTGTCACAGTCCTATTTTGAATAACTTTAAAGCTTGGGGTCTTTTGCTCTTTGAAGTTACATAGATCCGCAGAGAAGATTCAGGCCAGCACCTTAGGGTAACAGTGATTTTATTCTAATTATGGCATGAGGTGTGTATTCCTTACTCATCTTTATCTAGAATGGATGAAAACACAGTGGTTACTCAGCAGGGTTGGGAGTGAGTGGTAGCCCTCTACAGACAATTTGTTTCAAGGTGGGTTTTCAAAGTAGATAAGAGTACAAGATACAGTCAGCTTTTAAACTTCTGATTCAGTCACTGATGCCATTTTTAACTTGTTTTTAGGGTGTGTCTGCTAGAGAATCAGAGAACTGGGGTTTGGTTGGGAAATGCACAGTATATGCAGTGTTCAAGTAAGTTATTGAAGAGCAGCAGGCAGTTGTCTGAGCATATGTTGTTTGATACTGGGAATGGGAGAGTAGATCTGTAACACATTTTACTGGCAGCATAGACATTAATTGTGGGAAAGCTGAAGCATGGTCAACACTTCACTGTCTCCTTTATAGGATGTGCTGAAAAAAGTGAAAGTGATCCCCACATCTGCAGTGAACAGGATGCTGGAGATGCTGGACAGAAGGACCTTCTGGTGCATATCACGGCAAAGATGCTGGGGTGTCCCAATTCCTGCTTTTTATCAGAAGAGCACAGGAGAATGCTTGATAAACAGGTACCTGCCTAGCTTAGACATGAGAACTGACTGAAGCAGCACTGTCTGTTGTGCTGCAGTTAATGATATTATAAAACTTACTTCAAGTAGGAATGCATGCTTTTACTTGTAGTTGGTTATACACAGGTCTCATTTAGATGTAAGTTAAAATGATCAAAAGCTTGTGGCTGGAAGTGGCTTACATATAAATAATAGGAATCAATTTACTTAAATACTTAAGTTACCTGAAAACTCCCCTTGAGATTAATTGCTGCTTTCATCCCTTGTCTTCAATGAGCTGACAGTCATGACTGGCCTTTCCATTTAAGCAAGCAATGAAATGCAATTTGTGGTTAGAATAGATGGCAACTGTAATTGTACCACTGTACATTAAATAGTCCAGGTACTGTGTCAAAATAGTTTTTTGCAGTTAAGTGACAGTGAGATTTGAAATGGAATAACCACATTAGTTGCAGAATAAATATGTGTAATTTGTTTCAGAACAAAATTTGAGTAGTTTTGAAGACCAGCCTCAATTGGAACTGTCCCTTAGCTATATGATTTGGTGTGTCCAGATCTTCAGATGCTAGCCTGGTTCTGCCATCTTTTGATTAATAGTATCCAGATATTGCAAATACTGCATTTCAGGAATTATAGACAGCATAATGCAGAGGAAATCCAAGCTATGCTTTAAAACAAGGAAACTCAATCAAATACAATCCTTTTGTGTCCTGTAAGGAGTAATAGAGTTCTACTTTTGGTTCTTTGGGGAACAGGGATTTTCAGTTGTGAATGCTCTCTAAGAGGTGATTTCATAAAAAGAGTATTGCATTACTTCCCTAATTTTGAATTATTCATTGAATTAGTTCCATAATTTTTTTTTCTGCCTTGAGATATGCTGATGTAACTTGGTTTTGTACACCTTAACCTTACAAACTTCTGGGAAAATTCATAAGTTTTCACAAGTGGAGGTGAACTTGAATATTTTTGCAGAACTTTTTTTCATTTTGGTGTTGAGTAAATGTACTGCAGGAGTCCAGCATGTTTTCCAGAGGCTGTACTGAGCACACAAGCAGTAGATAGTAGACAGTAGTAGGTGAGGCTTAGGGTGTGGAGAGCAGGGAATGGACTTTAGACAGGTAATGCTTAGCTTCACCTGGTGTGACTGGGTGTGTAGGTGTGCAGAGAGATGTACTTTGGCTCTCTCACTGTAGGCAATAACTGTGAGAAAAGACCACAGTAGCCACAATGTCGTTTATAGTGCCTGGATAATGCTGGCACACATCAGGAAATAAAAGTGGTGGAGGGTTTATGGGACATAAAACCATTTTACCTGCAAAAAAGCATGTGTGTGTCTCTATAAAAAACTACTCTTTCTGAGGAAAACTTTTTGTATTCTGGTTGAAGAATAGGCTTGAGAGTATGTGTGTTGCTTAAAAATTGTTAAAGATGTAGTTTAACAAGCAAAAAAGTGTATTGGAAGCCAGTCCAGCAGTTGGCACTCAAATGTGAAGGGCACCATGAAGCAGGAGCTCCTTCTGAACACTGAGCAGCTGGGACAGAAAGCATTTGAAAGGAGGGATGTGTAGGAATTCCTTTAGGTTGTAGTAAAATAACTTTGAAAGGCCATGACGTGTATTAAAGCCCCTGCCTTTTGTGAGTGCTCAAGCAGTGTGAGATTATTCCCAAAATTGTGGAAAATGTGGCAATTGCAGCATTTTGATGTGGCAAATTCTGCCATAGCTTAACACCTCCACCTTTGTGTATAAATGTTGGCGCAGCAGTGAGACTTGTAGGGGAGTGAATAAGGGGACAGCATGACATATTTGGGTAGAGAATTGATTTGGGGAATAGAGAAGCATTTAGGAAAAAAACCAGACATATTCACTATGCTTGGAAAGAGATTTATTTCATTCAACTGACAGGTTCAGGTGATTATTTATAGCCAGTACTCTTTACTTCTAACTTTACTTACTCTTTGTGGAATTTTCAAAGCAAAGTGTAAAGCAGTCATTAAGTGTTCTAAAAGAGTTGAGCTTAAATATTTGTAAAGTTAACTGTAGGAAACTTCTGTAACTGGAGTAGAAGTGCACAGAATATTGGCCTATAGAAGTGACAGGCAAATGCAAAAGACAGTCTGTCAATTCATAGGTCATTTTCCTGGACACCAGTTCTTACTGAAAATAGCAGCTAAGCCTGGCTGTTTTGTTACATTTGCATTATCATTTTGAAAATCATATTACAACAGGTTGCTGACGTACTTTTTAAGAAGTTTCATACATAGTGTGAATAATTAATATAGTTAAAACATAAAACGCAGTAAATAAGTTGCATTTCAAAACATGAGCTGTTTTTAACTTGAATGCTGGATAAACAACCTTTCAGTAGCAGCTGCTGTGGAGTTTTTGAGTGACCATCAAAAGTAACAGCATCTCCACTGGAAGTCAGTGTAGTCCACATGGAGTTGCTGTTACATATGAGAGCACCAGTGGTCGATCTTGAGTTATCCTGTTCATGTAGCACCTGTAGAAAGACTTTTAATAAAAGAAAAAAAGTCCCTAAAATAAACTGCTGTTTTCCTCAGAGAGTTGTCCCTGAATTTGTCACATGAAAAGCTATTAAAAGCCCTTATTTCAAGGTGGAACTTCTTTCTCTAACAGTGTTTTTGCCACACCAGCAATCCAGTCTTCCTAGCTTAAAAGCCAAGAGGTAGTTAGTAATGTTCAGTGCAGAGTCTCTATGAGTCTCCTTGCTGCTGTGGCCCCCCCATAACCCTAAAATATATTTGATTCAATGACATTGTCATCTATGGTTAGAAATTTAATATACCAGTGATGTTTAAATTATTTTATGCAGAGTATGCTGCATCATATTGTGACCAGGAGTGTAAAAGTTATTATTAAAAATCCCTTATAGGAAAGAGAGAGAAAAGAGAGAGCACTTTTCATTATTGCCATTTTCAGTAAGAATACAGAGGTGGGATTCTGTGAGATTTTTCTGCACAAATGGAGAAAAAAGACTAAGTAATTTAGAGAACGTGCACAAATAGATGCTTATGATGTGTGACAGCTTTCAACATTTAATAGATTTCAAGAGAAAGCATTCTTCATCTAGGAAATCTGTAACTCATAGAAAAGAAGAAAGAGCTCCAAAACTAAAATATAAGAATTGTATTTCCAGTAGTAGCTCAGCACAGGTAATAAATGTGAGATAGTCTTTAATATGACCTCATGCAGTAACTGCTTTACAAATACAATGTTCAGATATAAATATGATAATAAATAGCAGTATTTGCAAAGATTGTTCTAATGCCTCACAGCCTTTGTCCACTTCCCTGTGGCTTTGATTAACACGTAAATTAAACTTCTGAAAAAAGAAAACCCAACATGTTTTTAAAAGAGACCTGTCCAGTGCTCTAATTTGTTTTTTAACATAATAAGACATTTTAATGAATTGCAATTAATAGCAGCCTACCATCCCCTAAATACTTACAGCTGTAGTATCGACGTTCTTGTAAAGCAGAAGATAACTTTCCCTCTTTGCTGCTGTTGGAAAGGAGATGGAGAGAACATCAGGCTCTGTATTCTTCTGCTCCTGACTGTATCTTAATGCTGCCTAATTTCTGTTAACAGATTAAATAAGTGTGCAGCATAATCAATACCTGGCTCCCGGGTGATTGGCTGGAGCCGTGGTAGCGTGAATCGCCGTCGGGCTGTCAGAGCGCGGCAGGGACACGTAATGCAAGTTCTTCCAGATAGCCTCTGAATACAGGGCAAAGTTTTACAATGCCTTTATGGCTCACTCAGGGAGTTATCATGCTCACCTTGAAGGCTGCAGATTATAAATTGATGAGTAGTTATTTGAGCAAGGTGGTTTTCACTTGCACCTTACAGAAAAGTACTTTGCAAAAATCCTGCTTCTTACAGTGCAGATACCTTAAATAAAGTTATTTCTCTCTTGTAGTAAAATTAATCATAAGGATCCTGCAAGCAAAGCAGAGACAAGTACAGGGACTGTGTTTGTCTTGTATTTTTCAAACTGTAGGAGTAAAAAAGATTTGTTGAAAAGCTACCTTGGAAATTTTTCATCTAAACTACCTGCTCTTATAAAATGCTTGTTAATGTTCACTTATACTCTGTAGGGAAACACTGTATAGTGAAAAAAACTTGCACTGCTAAAATACTGTATTTTTTTAAAACGTGATTTGAAACAATGGTAGAATTTTGAGAATATCGGTCAATAAAAATTTGACTTCACAGTCCTTGACTCCTTATTTCTTGTAAGTAATTGATAACACAAATCTGACCTCCTTTTACTTATCTGAAAAGTTTTATCTGTAGCATAATTGCACCTGTTGGTTCTTGTGTAACAAAAATATCTTTAAAAAATCTGCTTTTCATAAATTAATACTGTAATCTTTGCATTGCATGGCAATATACTTGACAAAAGGTTAGCCCATGGTATGTTTTGTGGGAATGGTTTATCTACAAGGGTACACAAGTCTTGTGTGACATCGGCAGTACTTACTGTAAATGAAAGTAGGCATTTCATTATGGTTTCCCAAGGGAGAGTAATAGCAAGGGTTTACTTCCTTCTTGTCTCTCCCCTCCCCCCTCCTCTGATGGAAAGGAAAAAAATTCATGAAGTTTATTAAGTTTATTAATAGTTTATTAAGAGTATCTTTTTATATGCTGTCCAAGATAACTGTTAGTTTTGACCTATAGCTGGACTTATGACCTTTTATGAATCCCTCCAAATAATGATATTGTGAAATACCTGTTGAATATTTTAAAAATGTATAGATTAAAAATTAATTCATCACTGGAGTTTATGTCCCTCCACTGAAGTGTATTTGCAATATGAAAAAGTTACGTGGAAGACAGGCTTAATTCCTGTTTAAATTTTCTGCTTTACAGGATGTGCTAGTAGCTTTTCCGTAAAATTGTGGATATGATTCCTGTTCAGAGAATTTTTCTGGCTCTCATTGAGGCCAGAGCCATTAGCTGAGCACTGAATTACCTCTTGCATGTGTCACTCAACATACACAAATATTTTACATAGTAATAAGCATGTTTTAGGGTAAATAATCCTCTTTTTAATTTAGCTATTCTTGTCTTCTGCTGGTGAGTTCCATGGGTAAGATTCAGCCAGTGAGAGGAAGGCATTGAAACTGTAGAGAGAGCTTTTCAAATCTTCAGATGAAGACAACTGGTTATCTATAAACTGTCTTTAAAAATACACTGAAAGTGTATTTGAGAAGAATCCAAGGTGGAAAATTCTATTGGCAAAGAGTGAAAAATAATATTGTGTGTTGCTTTTTCTAAAATGTTCCTGGATGCAGCAGCATCATCACTAAAGGTCAAGGTGTAAATCCAGCATTGTCAGTGGAAGGTACTCATCCTGCAAAAGACAAATTCAGTGGAATAGTTTAGTCCAGGCTGAGGCAAATTTCTTTTTTGTGTTTCCTGTGAGCTTTCTGAATTTGAAAATTTAGGGTAAAGGAAGCAAGACATAAGGGTTGCATATCAACTATCTGCCAGGAATTGTACCAGGGGTTGTTGTTTGCTTTTGTCTTGGAGAAGTAATACTCTCACAACTGGAAGTATAGCCAGCCAAATAGGCCTCTGTGCAAATATTTCTGGAAAGAAGTGGTACCATTCACAACTGGAGTGCCTCAGTGTTGTTTTAGCAAGATAAATGTTAGCAGATACATTATAAAGCCATAAATTGTGCCCTACCACCATTAAAATGGAAGGTGAATGATGCCTGTGCTGGTTTGAAAGGGGCAGAATGGTGGTGGTGCCACCAAGGATGTCCGTGTGTGAGTACTGGTCCTTAGTGGCCTTTCCCTGAAGAAAATCTGCTGAGATGTTTTACAGGAATTTATTTTGAGAAGTGAATTGATTAATTGATGATGGAGTGATTGATTGGTACAAAATTGATGTTCTGTCATTGCAATTTGAGCAGCCAAGAGCAAAACTGGATTTTCTTCTTCCCATTGCACCTCCTGTCATGAACTGAATCTAATTTGTTCTACAGCTTCTTGGAGAATATGTTTTCATCTTAAACCCTGAGTATAAGAGTCCACTAAATGTTTTAGTGATGTAGTTCAGCTTATTAGCAGTGCAGTAAAATACTGTGCTGAAAACCAAACCCAAAACTGAATGATGACTGAAGATCATCTGCCTTCTGTGTTCTCAAGACAATTACGCCAGATAATTATTTTACTTTTCCCCCTTTTTCCAATACTGTGTCAAGAAATTAGTTAACTGATTAAATCTTCATTTCTCAAGTTATAAATAAGTCTCTGGTGGCCTGGGTAACACAGCAGGTTTAGTATGAAGTTGGCAGGTCATGATGATCTGCTGTACTCCTTAAATACAGCAGATGTCTTCAAAATCACCTATTTAGGAAGTGCTCTGTGTGTCAGCAAGACAAAGTGTGTGGGGTTCCTCTTTGGTTCTTTAAGATACTTAATTTATGTCTAGACTTGGTATTAAGCAATATTAAAAATCAATTCCATATAGCCTTACCTACTGGGGCCAAAAATTGAATGTGTCATAAATAATGCACAGAACTGCACACCTTGAGGTTGCCTTATCTGTTCAGATTAGAAAAAATGCTTAGTTTTTAATTTTTCTTATTTCTGTAATATCTGTTTATTTCAGAGCCTTTGTCCTGGCTGGTGCTATATGTTACGAACTCATAGATTGCCTTCAGAGTATACATTGAATGGTTTATTATCACTCCTCTACTGGGTGCAGAATTTTCAGTTTCTTATTGAATTCATATATTAATATATAATTAATATATTTACATTTATTACAGTTTGAAAAATATATTGCTAAATTTGGGAAATTTGGGCAACTGGAAGCTTAAGATATATATGTGTGTGTGTGTGTGTGTGTGTGCTACTTGAAAAGCTGTCATTTCCTCACTCCTTTCCACATGAGTTCTCAAAGTCTCTGTATCCAGTAGGAAAAATAAACCTGTTGTTAAAAAGAGCAGATATTTTGAGGGGAAATAGTTGTGTAGTTTCACTAAATTCAAGGTCAATAAATAGCAAATAAAATGGATTTTAGAAGTTTTCAAGCTGCTGGCATCTTTTCTGAGTGCCCCAGTTATGAGGTATTTGCAGAAGAAGATATTTGGAATCCATGTGCATTTTTGTATGTTGTACAAATCCTCCCATCTTGGAAGGCAAAGGCAGAAAGTATTTAATGCAGGCAGGAAGCTCTGTGAAGTCTTGTATGGATTAGAACCTGGAAAATCACAGGTTCTAATAGCTTGGTCTGTGTATCAGTGTCTCTCACTGCTTTGAGTCTGGGATACTTGTGGAAAGGTGTGATTAACTGCTCTATTCATAAACCCCCTTTTTCTTCCTAACCCAGTGAAACCATCACAGATGTCATCAAAATAGTGGAGCAGCAAGGGACAGATGCATGGTGGGCCCTCCCCATCGAACAACTCCTCTCCAAACAGGCT